TCTGTGTCATTGATGTTAATCAAACAACAAAACACAGCTTTAACAAAGATTAATCTACATTTAGTTTATAAAGTGAACACTATGCAGTGTTATTTTACACTTAGGCCCAATCCCAATTCTATTTTATACCCCTTTCCCTCCACCTACCCCTTCCCCTTGTCCCTTGAAACAGAGTGTCAAGGGGTAGGGGTGAAAATATTCCCCTAAGAATTGGGACACCACTACTATGCCGTCGCACGTCATCATATGCCGTCTAGCTCCTACAATACACACACCTATACTGGTGTGCTGGTGTGTGCATTAGAGCCTTTAATTACCGTTCTATATTAATGCGCTGCTTACTGACACACACACACACATATCGCAGATTGCACAGCTTTCACATCCAGGAGCAAAGAAACTTGTCAACGCTGCCCCACGACTTTTAGTAATAACAGTTTAAATACTGAATCGCTACATTATATTTTCCAGCAACGAGAGGATAAAATCACGGTTTTTGAAGTAAACTCACTCATTGTAAAGAGAGACGCGCATACACGCAACATTTCTCTCTCTCGAATTGGCAATATTAGAGAAAAGGGTTTAGCGATTTCTAATTATTGGGGGGACTAGACCCCCTCAATGTTTATGGTGGTTATCACCCTGATCAGACATGAGAATATGTTGTGGTACTATCGTGCAGTCAGTAACGTTAATGGTTCAATGTTAAACTGTGCAAACATTTCTTTGAATAACATGACCGCAATTTGAACACATGATTGAATATAACATAAAATAAATGATTACATTTCATTAAAATCTTTATTAATGTCAAATGCTTACATTTATGTGTCTTTTTGTTCGCTCTGGCAGCCATGTTGCCGCTGTAGCCGGTTTATGCTGAGATAATTTATACCCCTTCGTTTGAAGTGTGGTCCCAAAAAATCTTTGTTTGAAGGGCTATCTGGCTCTTCCCCTACCCCTACAACCAAAAGAGAATCGAGACACAAGAAGGAAGGAGAAGGGCTAAGGGGTAGAAATGGGATTGGGCCTAAATCTACTGTAGATGTAGTCTACTAAAATCTTGTATTTGGTTGACTAAAACTAGATTAAAACTAAAAACAATTTAGATGACTTAAATATTAATAAATTTAAATGGAATTTAAGCCAAAAGATTATGACATAAACTAAATCAAAATTTGCTGTCAAGTTTTTATCATTATTTAGATATTAATTTACATAAAATCTCTGAGAAGGTGCATCACTGAACACTGTATGAACAACATTCATGGATTAAGCTATTAAATCATAATAAAAAAAATTAAACCACTTTACTTCTAGCATTTCAGACCTCAGAGAAAAGTTATGGATGCTGAGAAAGATTTTTATTTAGGTCATGTGGTAAATTATTTTTGGTGAATAATTTAGTAGAATTTTATATTGTAGATTCTCTATTAAAACTCATAAATATTTTACTTTCTTTACCTGTGGGTCTCAAAATTATTCAAGGCTATACAGATTTGGGGCTACAGCCCATTCATCACCTGGTACTATAGCATCTCTCCTGCAGTCATACAGCATCCCCAGCTGGAAGGGTCTCCCTAGAGATGCAGTCTCTATTGAATTCACTCCCACTGGATCCATGCTGACAAAACACAGAAAAGAAGAACTCACACCAGTGACATTATAGATACACTCCCAATTTGAGTTGTTATTAACCCAAGCGCTGGGTAAATATAGGACAGAACCCATCTTGGGTTAATTTTACCCAGCAAATTGGGTTGTTTATTTAACCCAGCATAATGGGTTGATTCATTTTGACTATATTACTATCTTATTTCATACATTAAATAATGTTTACAGATTAACTTAACCCTCAAAGACACAGACAGCTGCCCGCGGCTAAAAATAACTATTGTTCTTAAATGTTTAATAACTTTTGAACCGCTAATCCTATCTGAATACTTTAAAAAGTGCTGTAAAGCAGATATTTTCCACTTTTCGGCAATATCTCATTCACGCCCTAGTGTATGCTTTGACATAAAACAAACCAAAAACAAGGATGAAACAGCGGTACATATTGAATAAAGCACTGACATTTATGTCTTCGTGTCGTTAGGCAATGTCCCGGTAAAACTGATTCCCTTTCAGTCAGTCACTCTCGACGTCACGTCGGATGACCGACAAATTGGGATCTCGCTTAGAGAGACCAATCTACTTCGAGTGTAAACT